CTGGATCAGGAAGTCTTAAATGTCTTTCAGAAAGGAGCAGTAAAATTTGTTTATCTTGCTTTCTAGGTTTATATTTCTATATCTTTGTGGTTCTGAAGGTATTAGAACATGGGAGAGACATATTATTATGTATCAACTCATCATTTCCTGGACATATTTAATTTTAACATGGAAAACACTAGGTTGCTATGAAAGTTTGTTTATTGTGACCATTGAATGATGATGTTGGATATATAGGATGCTTATCTTCATATCCCTGTTATTAGTTCACTGCCCTTCCCTTCAGATTGGCTTCTGTTCAGTACATTTTTGTCCAGTAGTCTTCTATTTTTCTGTTCTTTTCTATTCACTTCACATTAATTTTTCACTTTTACATGGACATTTGGCTTATTATAACCCATTCATATATTCAGTCTCTTACACAAACACAGTTGACTACCTTGCTAGCTACATCACTTGGGTGGAACAACCATAATTCCAATTCTTATTTAGTAACAATGCAGTATTTGATACATCTGGGGTTTTGCTCTAACACAGTTTTAAGATACAGTTCAGCTATCTTCTATGATATCACAAGCCTTGGAATCTTGTGTACATCTGCTTGTATCTTCCATATCTACTGCCAAAGACATCTACTCTGATTTTCACAAAATTATTTCCTTGTGATGCATGCATATGTTACAACTCCAGAGGATCCTAGCCCCTCAGTGGTATCTGATTTCAGACATGTCATCATGTAATATTCTTGTTTGTTTTATCACTCTTGTGTTTCTCTAATTTTGGATGAACCAAGGTTTTGCATGGCAAAATCTCCTTTTCTTCCTTATCTTATAGACATTCCTCTTTTCACAGATGCTTCCCTCTCTGGTAAGGTGCTGTGTTGTGACATAAATGTCATTCTGCTTCTTGGATGACTCATTGGGAAGCAACAGCTCACATCAACATGTTAAAACTTTGGGCTGCTGAGCTTGCTTGTTTCGATTTTCTGCCTTTTTACACAACCATTCTGTATTAGTTCACACAAACAGTTCCACAGTGGTAGGTTACATCTACAATTAAGGCAGCGCTTATTACTACAGCCTTTTCTTTGCTGCAGTTTCATTACTTTCTTGTTTTCATTATAAACTTGTTCACCTTTGAGCCTGTTACATTTTGGCAAATCTTGTTTCTCTAATTTGTCAGATTCTCCCCATGGAGTGTATCCTCCATCCTTTGGGTTTTTAGTGGCTGTGTGAAAGACTGGTCATCTGTAATGGTTAACCATCTTCTTCCACTTTACTGTTCTTCAATTCAAAATCTAAATTCTTTAGCAGTAGACATCCTGAGTCATTCTTAGGAAAACTTCTTCATTTTTCCCTACTCTCCTTTGAGTACATGCTAAGATCAATTTCTCAAAGTTCTTTTTATCTTTTCACTTAGGTCAGCTCAACCATGAGTTCTCCAATTACTTTTTTCTCATGGATGTTTCATGCTCCGATCAGGTTGGTGATCTTCTATATTTTCTTCTTTATTTATATCTTAATGTTCCCATTGTATGGCCTTCATGTTTTGAGTCTATCCATGGGGATTGTTTGGATCTTTGCTTGAGCAACTATTTATTTAGCTGGTTGTGTTATTCACTGGGATTTTCAATATGGATGAAGAGGGGCTACAGCCTCTGGGATATGTCTTCTAAAACATACTTACCTCTTTTCACACTACAGTTATTACTCGACTGCCAGGGTTATGGGAAGGGATAGCTATGCCTTATCTGGCACGGCTGTCAGAACTATGTGATTTAGCCTATCACTACCAGGTGGAAGCATATTTCGACTCTCAAAGAATACATGTATCCCTAGAAATTAGGGGTTCTAGAATGGACTTTATAATTAACCTGAATAGACCAATGCTGCAGTAACATTCACCCCTGTTGTTGTTCACACATTGGCTTTCATTGGCTCCTACAGGGGGTCATAGTTCTGCCCCTATTCAACATCCGCAACATCAGCCCCTCAGTCCATTGGTATCCAGAATAGATTCTGTCCATATCTAAGGGTTCCACTGCTCAGTCAGAATGCCACCTGTGGTATCAGTGATTATTGTATGCCTTCAGGGTCTGTGGGGGCTTGGCTGCAAGAATTTTTGGACGTGTGGTAAACCTTAACCACAGATCCATGGGCAATATAAGTTCTTGAGTCAGGATTAGTCATTCAGTTCACATTTTCACCACAATTATCCACCTATCTCCCACAGATCCTAGGATTTCAGAACTTAGTTCAATGGCTATCAGAGTTTGGTTTATTTGGGGGTAGAGAGAGAGAGTCGTGCCAATTATTCTGGGGTTTTATTCCCATCAGTTTGTTGGGCCCAAGAAGACAAGAGACTGGCCTATGGTCAATGATTTTTCTCATATATATAAATTCCTACTAGCTTCAGGCATGGAAGTTGTGCAGTTATTCACACAGCATTGGGATTTAATTTCTAAAGTTGCCATGTATCTGTCTAAGTCTTTGCTTAGTTCTGCAATGGTCATTTATCAACAAAAGTGGCACACTTATAAAAAATGGTGTATTAAGAGGAGGTTGAACCCATTTTCATCAGAAGTGCCAACCATAACTCGTTTCTTGACCTAGCTCTTTGGCTAGGGTTTTGCATCCTTCACAATTTCACTGTATAATGTGGCCTTATTGGGCACCATTTAATAATAATAAAAAAAATATTTGAATCCCCAGTACTCTCCAGCATCTAACTGGTATACTAAGGTTACATGCTATTTCTCAACACCCATTGTGACCTTAGCCTTGTGTGCTATGTATCACCTTTCCCTGAAGGTTTATTTTTCATTGCTGCATCTATCACACCATTTCCAGAGCACTGTTCCTCAGGACTCACCAATGTGCATTACCCCCAGATTCTGCTAGTGGAGCTTACCACACCTGGTTTCCAGTCACTGGACAGAGGCTTTTCTTCCACTCTTGGAGAAGAGGGCAAACTTGGGGGCTCTCTTACCTAGGCCATACATGTTTTGTCCCAGTTGTCGGTGGGAGAATCACCAGCCTACTTCTAATACTGGTTCAGATTTGATGCTCAGCTATCCGATTAGGTTGACAGTTGCCCTTCTTTTCGATCAATATTGGTTCAGTACATTGTTCATGGAAGAGGGTCCATTGTCTCCTCATAATTCCAAAGGCAGAGTGGTCCCATCCTGGATCCTTGGTTGAGTACAGTTTGTTCCACATCCTCCCCATAATTCTGGGGGCGAGAGGAATTTACCTTGCCCACACGGTTGGGGAGTGAGGATGAGTGTTCATAATTCCAGATTGGATGAGTTTTGTTTCCTCAGGTTGATCCCGTCATTCTGAGCCTGGGGTGCCTTTCGGACTTCTTCAGGTTGAGGAGAAAGTTTGTCCACTTTGGTGCTTACCTTCTTGTTGTGATTCTGGTGGCTCAGAATGCATCACTTAATGGCTACAGGCTGAGATCCACTCATAAGTATATATATATATATTGCAGTCAAATTCTCCTAGCCACCAATGTGGGATATAAGGACCATGGCCCTATAATTTCAACCCTGAGCAGTGGAACCTTGGTTATCTAGTTGGGGCCTGGCCAGTAGTGATGATAAATCATGTAAAATTCCACCCACAGTACATGAATTAAGTTCTGGGTAAAGAGCATACCTATTCTGGATGCAGTGAGGTTCCCCCACTAGGGTGCTAATCTCCTGTTGACAGATTCATGATCTGTGCAGACACATTCTATATGGATATCAATGTGAGATTCTAGCTTTAGCGTGAGAAGAGGTAAGTATGTTTTGGAAGTCAACATTTTCTTAAATAGAAAATGTATTTTCAATAATAATTTCCTCTGCTGACACTCTCTTGTCCTTCCTCCCCACTAAGAGTCGGTGTTAGAGACTGCAAATTGAGTCAGTCTTGAAAAAGTGATAACATTATCTGAATGAGGTGCTTATATACAGTACAAGGATAGAAGGCACATTGATGTAGGTGGAGAGTATCACAAATATCACCAAGGGCAATTAAGTGGGGTATAAAAGACTGGAGCAAGTGAGAAAAAATCATACCAATGCTTAGATGGGCAAAGGAAGAAACCCTGGCAGTCGAGTAAAAGCTATAGTGTGAGCGGAGGTAAGTGTTATTGGAAAAACATTTTTGATGTAATAAAATGTTAACCTTTCATAATACATGTCTGGGATGCTCTCTGAAAATCTTTCACTGTAGGAGCAGAACATAGCATTCTTCCTAACTGTTTATGTCACTGTCTGTGTCCCATTTTTTCCTCCGTAGGTTCAATACATCATTACTGCTTTTAGCCTCTTTTGGTCACTTCTCTAGTGTGCATTTGATGGGACTAGATTTATGTTATACATATTTGTTTCTGATTGACTACATGGTGAAAGTTCTTTGCTACAGTTGTGAAAAGAAGCTATATCTGTCTGAAGTCCTACCATTCCCTCCACTAAATAGTGAAATCTTCAACAGTAGCCTCACAGAAAACTGTGGTACATGTAGATCAATGTATTATACATGTTACAGTATAAATTTATTATAACCTGACATTTTTTAACTGATGTATATTATTATTATATATGGAGTTTAGTTCTTAGAGTAAGACTTTCAGGAGGAATAACCACAGGTTTAAAGATCTTATATGTATGCTGCATATAGGCATATACAATTTTTCAACCAATTAAGACATTACAATAAAAGTTTGTTTCTGTATTGTAAAATTAAATGTTATGTCAGCTATTATTTTATTAGTTTGTCTCTTCTTTTAAATGACAACTTTAGACATACTATATTTTTCACTAAAGTTTTAGTTCCATTTTAAAAGAAAATGAGTTGGTTATGTCTCTGTATGTTAACATAAAGTTTGTGGTTTTAATTGTTAACTTTCTTTATTCGATACCTTTTTTAAAAATATTGCTAGGATGAAAAAACAAACCAAGTCCATTATTATTACTTGAAAAAACTAATGTGATATTTTTTTTGTACTTTTAGGGTTTACTTTCATTATTACGGAAACTTAAGTCTACACCAGATCAAGAACTCCGTATCTTGTTGCTTGGATTAGACAATGCAGGAAAAACTACTATTTTAAAGTCCTTAGCCTCTGAAGATGTTACACATATCACACCCACTCAGGTTTGAATACTTAAATTTTAAATTTTATCCTTTTGTTTATTATGATTATTATTATTCTTGTATGTCAAAAAAATTAGTTTTTCTTTTCTAGAATTAATAGAAGAGATTTCATGGTATTTCATACTTCCTTCTGACTTTTAATATCAAGGTAATCAGTAATACTCATTACATATATATTCAGTTAGTACTCATGTAGAATCAAATTGTGTAATGTTATGAAGAAATGGATCACACCATCAAAAAGAATGAGACATAATTCAAAATGTATTGAAAAATATCATACATACACACTTCAATAGTGTTAAAGATGTGCAACAGAATGTCACAACTGATTGAAAAACTGTTGAAATAGATGTTTTCTTGTTGAATCCACTTCTGAGCTTTGAAGAAGCAGGAAGAAATTTAAAACATAATCAAATCATCATTTAGGAGGAAAAGAAAACTAATAACAATTAGAGTAATCACTTGATAAAATATGTATTTTAGAAGAAACAAACATGCATTGACCAAGCTTGAGTGCAAATGTTATTACTAAATTACACATAAGTGAAGGTAGTATGAAAGAAAAATAACATATAATTTTTTTTGCTATTTCATTTTAATGCTTATAGAATAAAAGCTTTAATAAAATTTCCACGTTAAGATTAGAGAAAATTGTTATATATGTGAACTTTTGATACTTAGGGGATTTTTACATGGCATTTTTAATTTGTGGTAAGTGGAATGTCAGTGTTGTGCAAACTAATAAAACACAAGGAATGTAAATTTATATATCATTTGATTCAGTACTGACATAAATAAAATTAAAAAAGAAATAACTACTATTCTTACTTCAAAAGCTACAATTACACAGTCATTTCTAACAAAAGATTAACAACAGTAAACAATGCATTCATAATTTCTCTGCTCATCACAAAGTATAGGTTTATATTTGCTTTGTTCCTTGAAAATATAATGGTTCATGATTTGTTTTTTTCCACGATTTCCTTTTTCTGTCATTATGGTATTACTACAGCCTTTTGTTTCGTTGCCACCCTTGTATGATGTCATAACAATTACAAATGATATTCAGCATGGAAAATAGCTAGAATCAATAGCTAAATATGACTGCATAGAAGATATTATAATCTATGTAAGCAGTCCTCAAAACTAGCATTGGCATATGACAAAGCCATCAGAGAAGCCATGACGTTTTTTGATAAATGTCAAGTACAATGGCAAAAACATCCTACCATAAGAAAATACTTGTCAAATGTTTTGCCTCTACTTTCTTAATGTTTTCTTTAAAAAACTGCATAGATTAAGATTTTATAGACAAATAAAACTCTTGATAAATAAATAGAACATTTAATGATACAAACACTTCACTTTGCCAAACTTGAGATATCAGTTATGACTAAATTCACTGGATTGCTGTAATGTCCTACTCTAGAAGTAGGATGTTTGATAAATCTGGTTTTGCCATTTAAAGGTTCATTGCTTCAGGAAAGATAAAATAAACTATAAGTAGGTAACATTACATATCTGTTTTCCATTTTCAAATTCTTATGTGTATTTGAATATTTCCCATTGACTGCTGAAAATATTGATAATTTCCTGTTATACTTTCTTGTGTGCTGACAGCTGTTCTTGTTCAGTCACTGGATCATATACAGCAGTCTTGTCTAGCTCAACTTAATAAACACATATAATGAATTTCTTGGAACTGTTTATTGACACATAAAGACAAGTTCTGAAACACACTTACTTCCTCTCACACTTTAGCTTTATCCTAACAAAAGTTTCTTTTCTCTGCCCATCTAAGCATTGGTATGAATTATACCTTATTTGCTCCAGTCTTTATACCCCACTATATCGCCCCTAGCGATTTTAATCTTATGACTTTCATCACCTACATCAATGTACCCTCTATATAAGATCTGTATATAAGCCCCCCATTACTACTTATTCACTTTTTCTTGATGGCAGAAGTTATGACAATGGTCTTACATGATTAGTGTGGGTTTCTCTTCAGCATTACTACTACATTTTCTTTTAGACCTGTTCTAGTGAATTTTGAGTTTATTGTTTATTTTCTTTATTTTGCTAAAAAGGATAAAAAAATTGGAGATGTTATTCAAATATGGTTATACATGTTTGCTTTTCAGACAGGGAGTTGCCTGCTGCTCCTCCTCTACCACCTCACGAGTCTGGTGTTATCTTGGCATCAAGGGCAGGGTACTTTCCGCAGAGGACATACAGACATTGATTGAGAGAGGGTGATGCCATGCCTGATCCTCCTAGTTTTTGGATCAGTATGCCTTGGCTTTCCATCACCTGGAGAACCTTTATTTGGACTATCAGAGGTTAGATTCTCTTCTTCTTATTTGGGGCTCCAGATAAGATGCCACAGTTCACCTTAATTAATCTGTTTTACAGAATTCATCCGTCACTTACAACAGTTTTGTGTTTTTATCATTTTTGCAACTGTCGTCTGAGGTTTATCACAGATATCCTATGAAATTTTCAGATGCTCTTAGTAATTTATTGACTCCTACTTTGGTCAGGTTATTTGCTTCTGGTCTCTTCTTAGTATCTTGGTTGGTTTGTTGTTGGGATCTTTTGGAGAGAGATGCTTTGCTGGAGGGAGTTTGACTTCCTGCTTCAGCTTTTAGAGATGTCAGAGAAGCTCTTTTTCTCAGAGTCTATTTCTTCTGGTATTCCTGATTATATGGAATCTTGAGTGGATATGGCCCACCTCCACTCTTCCCTTTCTACCCTAGTTTCTCAACTGTCTCAAAGGTCTTCAACAGAACAGTTTCCTGTTTCCCCCATTTGAGATTCCAGACCTTCTTATTTGGTGCCATGATCCATTAGAATACAAAGGCAATTCCAACCTTACCAGCAGATATCCTTCTCTAGAGTGGAGCACAAAATACAATGTTGGTGATGACTTTATAGGGTCAGGTTCTGTGGGGTCTATAATCAGAGGGTTTGCGTCAGTATGGGAGACCTTCACCACAGATCAGTGGGTCATTCAAATTCTCAGGAGAGGATTGGTCATTCACTTCACGTCTCTTCCTCCATTGTCTCTCATACTGATTGACTTTCCACTCCCCAAGAACCCTCTTACATCCAGCTGTTGAGCACAAGCCATCCAGGATCTTCAGCACAAAGAGGTCATAGAGCATGTCAACTCCTCTCAAGGATTTTTATTCCTGGCTGTTTGTAGTACCTAAAAAGATGGATGATTGGCAACCAGTTATAAACATTTTTCATCTTAATTGCTTCCTCGGTTTACAATGTAGTAATTTATTTCCCTATGGTTGCTCTTTTAAGTTGGTCTACGAATGACAAAATTTTATGTCACCAATGTGTACTTTCACATCCTAATCAAGGAGTCTTTATGGCATTATCTTTGTTTTGTGCACAACAACCAGGTTTTTCAGTTTCGTGCTCTTCCAACTATTCTTAGTCTATTCTTAGTCCCACACAGTACCTTGTCCTTCTTGTGGTGTTTTTTTAATTCCAGAGTAAGTAGGGCCTAGCCTTCTGCTTTATGCCTTCAGGCCATGGAATGGGTAGTTCTAATATAGTTGTCTCCTCCTCCACCAGTGTATACAGTTTTATCTCATTTGGAGATGTAGGCATCTTTGGAATCACTCATTCCTTTAGGTCATGTTCACATATGGACCCTTCACTGGTCATTATGGGACCAATAGAACATTTGCACAGATGTGCTGGATTAACCTGAGGTCCTGTCAACTTCCAGTTTGCAAGATCTTGGCTAGTGGTTGGACAGGGACAACATGACAGTCAGTATCTGTCTACTTTCCCCACATCCAGAGATGCATCTTTTCACAGATGCTTCTCTCCAGGACTGGGTTGCTTGTATAGAGAATATGGAATTGAAAGGCCTTTGGACAGAAGAGGAAACATCTCTTCATATCAATTTATTAGAACTTCTAGCACTTCAATGAGCTATAACTCAGGGTCTCGAATTGTTGCAAGGATATAGGTAATGCTTCATTCTGATAATTCCACAGGTGTTTCATACATTTCAAAGCAAAGGGGCACTCACTCCAGATCTCTTTGCTTTCAAACATTGGATCTACTCTTTTGAGCACACAAACATCAGATCGTTCTCCTTGCTTGTCATGTTCCAGGTGTAATTAATTTAGTGGCCAATCAGTTATCTTGTCTAAACAGAGCTCTTCCCATGGATGGGATGCCTTATCCAAAGTTTTTCATTGGATCCATTTCATCTTGGAACATCTAAGGTGGATGCTTTTGCCACACACACACTGGAATGCTCAGCTCCTGTACTTTTGGTCTTCCGTACCTCACCCTATGACTTTGGGCATAGATGCTCTCAGCTAGGATTGGACAGGTCTTCATATTTATGTGTTCCCTTAGATTCATCTATTATACAAGGTTCTTGCACTGATTTGCTCCATGTCCTGTTGAGTTATTCTGGTAGCACCACATTGTCTGGGTCAGCCTTGGTTTCCACTTCTCCAGTATCTTCAGAAGTGTCAACTTCTTCCCCTTCCTCTCTGGCCATTTCTCTTATGTCAGCCTCAGTCAGACATTTTTCATCTGGCAGTCGGCGTTCTTCGACTGCATGCCTGGCTTTTATGCAGTCCATCACACGACATCAAAAATTGACTTCTCTTTGGAAGTTTATCAACAGAAATGGTTTACTTATCCTCAGTGGTCTCTCAGACTTGGTTTCAACACTTCTCATCCCACTGTGCCACACGTCTAAATTACTGTCCTGGTTATTCCACAAAGGTTTGGCATCTTTGTCTATTGCCCTGTATACAGCTGCCTTTCATTTTTCTCAGAGAAAAACAGTGTTTTCCCTGGTTTTGTCCTTACATCTGAAATCTGTTTGGGTTATCCATCGACATCATCCTATTCCTGTTCCTAATTGGGATATCACAGTGGTTCTCCATGCCTTATCTTGTCCACTTTTCAAACCTTTGGGGTTATGTTCACTATATCATCTTTCACTTAAGACTTATTTTCTTCTGTTATTGGCTAGTGGGCATCAACGTTCTGTTGTTTTTACACTTCATGTTCACAGGAATCATTAACATTCCACTTGTGTTCAATTGTATCCAGACTGGTCTTTTTTACTCAAAACTTCAGCAGCTAGAGAAGGATATAACAATTTCTTTTCTATTCATCTATATGACTGCTTGGATCCAGATTGTCTTTTATGCCCAGTTCACATCACTATTTTTTTATCCATTGGGATCCTTCTGTATCATGTGACTTATCCCCTGTTACTTTGACAGATTGGATTTGTCAGTTGGTTTGTATGGCTTACTCTGGGTTTTCATTGGAGGAGCAGAGACTGTTTTGGGTCTCATCTCATCAAGTTCAACATATCTCGATGTCCCTGGCAGCTCCATTGTGTTGCCCACTGGAGGAAATTGTACACGCTGGTATGTGGACAACACATAACACATTTATATTGCACTATTTTCATGATTTAGCAGTTTTCTCCTTTAATGGGATTCAGCTACCCCTATGGCTATTCTATGCACCCTGGTTCGATTGTGACAGAAATGAGTGACTTCATTTCTTCTATGTTTTTCTATTCCTTTTCAGAGACCCTCTCATAATTATCATTTGGATCCCACTCAGTGGCATGTGTTGCCTGATCAGGTATGCTTTTTTAAAATCTGCATCAGCTACCAATAGACTAATAAATAAAATTCCGGGTAGCAACGAGCTCTGTTGAGATGGGGTGTTTCATAAGACCATCTTGATGCTTTCCGGGTAGTACAAAATTATTCAGTACCATACATAATATATAATATTGGACTGTCACTTATGGACTATTATGAGTAAAGCATAAAGGGATTTTGCAAATCCCTGCTGACCCCTGGTTGTTGTTGGTTTGCTTTTCAAAATAGGTGACGTAATTCACCTATTGCACCATCTCTGGAGCATTGTTCCTCACGACCCCCCAATGCAAGTTCTCTCCCATTTCTCCATAGTGGAGCATGGAAGTCCTTACCACTCCCAGTTTACAGTTGCTGGAGTGGTGGATAGAGGTCTATTCTTCCTGAGTGATGTTTGAACACTGGGTTTTCCCAGATGTCTAGGGGGTGCAGGAACAGCCTATATGGTATCTTTCTCGTAATTTTGGTTCAGAGATGACACTTCTCTATTCAGTTGTGTTGAGCCTGGCTCTTCTTTTTTTGGTCATTATATTACCTTCCATGATCATGGAAGAGGGTCCTCAACTCCTCATAATTCTGCACACAAAGCTTCAAGTCCTAGAGCTATTGGTTGAACTTTCTTTGTCCCATATCCTCCTTGTAATTTCAGGGACAGGGGTGTTTCCTTGCCTCTCAGGTTGGGGAGTTAGGATTTAGGTTTGTAATCCCAGGCCAGTTAATATCTGTTTTCTTCAGGTTAAGTGAAGTGGGAATGGCCCCATAATTCTGACTTTGTTTTATGTGTTTGTTGCTTCTGCAGGATAAGGTTAAGGCTTGTCCACTTGGGTGTTGCTTGCCTTCTTTTTGTAATTCTGATGGTTCACATGCAACATTTTGTAACTTTCAGATTGGGTTCCTGGACCCATAATTCCAAGTTCAGTTTATTGCATTATGTGCTTCATCAGGTTGGGGTGAGGGTTTGTCTTCTCTTCATAATTCCATTGGCTTGATAGGCAACATTCTGTAACTTTCATGTTGGTTTCCCTTCATGTCATATTACTATAATACAATTATATCACACTGAAGTCCTCATGCCCTAGCCACTACACTTTGAATTTAGCTTTGGGTCCACAGCTCTATAAATCCAATGATGAGACGTGGGACCTCATCTGTATGGTTAGGACCTAGATGATTCTTGTGAACACATACAATATTTCAAGACCAGACATGTGTGGTATTGCAGAAGGAACCAGTTTTGGAATAGATATCTCTCCATGCATGTTTCTTCTCATGGTGTTAGTGTTTTGACACTGTGACTGGTTTGCCGTTACTACCCATGTTTTAGATTTCACATTTTCCAGGCAAAGAGCATACCTGTTCCAGAACTAGTGTAGACCCCACTAGTTCGCTTTACTATATCTCAATTTGCACACGTTTACTATGTGGATGATGTCTGTGTGGATCTTGCTCTCACTGGCCCCTCCACCTTATCAGTGTGGGATTCTAGCTAAAGTTTGAGAAGAGGTAAGTGCGTTTCGTTAGTTTACATTTTCCTATACTGAAAATATATTTCTGATAATACATACTTGCCCTTCCTCCCTACAATGGCTGGTGTTCAGGTCTGATAATTTTGCCAGTCTCAAAAAGTGAATAAGTAATAATGGGGAGCTTATATACAGATCTGGTATAGAGAGTGCATTGACATAGGTGGAGAGAGTCATAAGATTTAAATCCCTAGGGGCAATATAGTGGGGTATAAGGACTGGAGCAAGTAAGGTATGATTCATAGCAATGCTTAGATAGACAGAAAAGAGAAACTTTTGTTGGGATAAAGCTAAAGTGTGAGAAAAGGTATGTATTATCGAAAATACATTTTTGGTATAGGCAAATGCAAAATTAGATAGTTTATGAACACTGGACAAAGGACATTTACATGCTGAACAGCAAATTGTACTGGTAGTTTTAAACATCCCTGGTAAGGCCTGTCTATGTATTAACTAACACTTTACCTAATTCAGAAAGTATTTATATGTATATGTCACAGCTCTGGATATTTGGGTGTTATATTCTTACAATAATTCACATAACTTTATATCACAAGCAAATAAACACTTTGGACATTCTTTAGTTTTTGCATAGGCCTTGTTGAAATCTTGTTATAGTGCCACAACAAGAGGTTTGATCATTTTCTAATTAAACATGGCTTTGAAAACAGCAATAAAGAAAGTTTTAATTTGTACTTTTAGGTAGGAAGGCTTTTTGAGAAAACAAAGTACATAAAGCATCAAGAGCTTATATATTAGTTCTTGTCTGACGCAAGCAATAAAAAGAACATGTGCTTTGGGAATAGATGATAGACTAAGTTGCTAAGGGCTCAGAACTGGAAGAAGCCAAGAATTATAAAACTAAATGCAAGTTACATTTAAGACAGTGTCTAGGAACTTGGAGCTGTTGAAGTAAAGTTTGGAAGAAGTTCTTGAGTAATGGTGACAAAAGAAATAGGTAGTTTCTGTAGCATCTAAAAGTGTCAAGTAAAACAGTTCTCTAACCTGCTATGGATGAACCTGACACAAAGAAAAAAACAATTTGTCGAGGAGTTGGAGTTAGGCAAGAAATATTATGCCTAAGGTAACTAGGTAGTCAAATGAGTGGTCAACAGATGTGGTAGATGCAGTTAATTGAAGAGAGCTTAAAGGAAAGCTTTATAGATATTTGAATGTAAGTGCTGGCTTTGAGTGTTTTATTTTTATGTAGTGGGTAGGATGGCCTAGATGGACCAATAGTCCTCTTTTTTGTTCTTAAATTTTATATATA